TCAACCTGGCACACAGGTTGAAAATCACTGGTCTAGGTAATACTATGGTACCAATATTGATTTCTTGGTTTTGATCATTGTACTATAAGGAAGCTGGATGAAGGGTATACCTGAATTCTGTGCTACTGGTGCAACTTTTCCATGTGATTAAAATTATTTCAAAATAAATAAAAAGTAAATTCTAACAAGTCTACTAATAGGTATATACCCATAAGAATGGAAAGCTAGGACTCAAACACGTACTCATATACCAAGTAATAGGTGCATTATTCAATAGGCAAAAAGTGGAAACCACCCAAATACCCATCAACAGATGAATGGATGAACAAAATGCCAGACACATATACAATAGAATATTTAGCCTTAAAAAAGGAATGAGATTCTGATACATGGTACAACATGAATAAACCTTGAAAACATTTGCTAAGTTAGTGAGCCAGACCAAAGAGGATAAATATCACTGGCTTCTACCTACATGAGGTACTTAGAATAGGCAAACTCATAGCTACAGAAAATGGAATAGAGGTTACTGGGGGCTGGGAGAGGGGAGAATGGGGAGTTAGTGTTTAATAGACACGGAGTTTGTTTGGTATGATAAGTTCTGGAAATCAACAGCAGTAATGGTTGCATAACATTGCAAATATACTTAATGCCAGTAAATTTACACTTCAAAAGTATTGAATGAGAAAATTTATATAATATATATTTTAGCACTAAAAAGTTTTTCAAAATAGAAAATTACAAATGTAATTACAATTGGACATAAGAACTTTAGAGATTTCCTACACCTAAATTAAAACTTATTGATGATTTTGGGCATAACAAACATATGGATGAATAGAACAGAACAAAGAAACCAGAATTGAATCCATCTGTTTACAGTCAACTGAACAAACGTGCCAAGAATACATGGGAAGGAGCAGACTCTCATCCATAAATAGTGCTGGGAAAACTAGATCTCCATACACGGAAGAATGAAACCAGATTCTTATCTTGTATCATATACAAAAATCAAGTAAAAATGGATTAGGCTTAAATGTGAGACCTGAAACAAGTATAGCTATTATGAGAAAAAAAAACACAGGGGTAAAAGCTTCTTGAAATTAGTCTGGGCAACAATTTTTGAATATGACACCAAAAGCACAGGCAATAAAAGCAAAAATAGGCAAATGGGATAACATAAAACTAAAAAGCTTCTGCATAGCAAAGGATATAACCAACAGAGTGAAAAGGTAGCTTAATGGATTGGAGAAACTATGTATAAGCCATATATCTGATAAGAGGTTAGTATCCAAAATATATAAGGAGTCTTACAATTCCATAGCAAAAAAAGAACAAAAAACAATTAAAAAATAGGCAAAAGAGGCTTAGCGCCTGTAGCTCAGAAGCTTAGGGCACTAGCCACATATATCAGAGCTGGCAGGTTTGAATCTAGCCCAGGCCTACCAAACAACAATGGCAACTGTAAGAAAAAAATAACTGGGCATTGTACAGGGTGCCTGTAGTCCCAGCTACTTGGGAGGCTAAGGCAAGAGAATCACTTAAGCTCAAGAGTTTGTGGTTGCTGTGAGCTGTGATACCACTGCACTCTACTGAGGGTGACAGTGAGAATCCGTCTCAAAAAAAAAAAAAAAAAAAAAAAAAGAAATAGGCAAAAGACCTGGATAGACATATCTCTAAAGAAGAAATATGAAAGACAAACACATATATGAAAAGGTGCTCAACATCATTAATCATCAGAGAGATGGAAATAGAACCACAAGGGGATATCCCCTCATGCCTCATAGAGTGACTTTTATCAAAAATCCAAATCCAAATCCAGGTTATCAACAGATAACACTGCTGGTGGGAATGTAAATTGGTATACCCATTATGGAAAATAGTACTGTGGTTCCTCAAAAAATTAAAAATAGGGGTGTTGCCTATAGCTCAAAGGAGTAGGGCACTGGCCCCATATGCCAGAGGTGGTGGGTTCAAACCCAGCCCTGGCCAAAAAAAAAAAAAAAGATTAAAAAAAAAATTAAAAATAGAATTACCATATGATCCAGCAATCTCACTGCTAGGTGTATATCCAAAGGAAAAATCTGTAGGTTTAAGAGATGTGCATTCTCATGTTTGGTATGGCATTATTCACAATAGCCAAGATATGGAAGCAACCTAAACGTCCACCAACAGATGAACGGATAAAGAAATTATATGTTGTGTGTGTGGAATATTAATTAGGCTCAAAAAAGAAAATCCTGCCAGTTGCAACAATATAAATATACGCAGAGGACATTATGCTAAGTGAAATGAGAGCCACAAATTCTGTGTGATCTCATCTAAACGTGGAATCCAAAACAGTTGAATTCATAGAAACAGAGAGCAGAATGGTTGTTCTTAGGAGTTGGGGTTGTGTGGGAAATGAAAGACGGTCAAGAGAAAGGAGGGAGGGGCAGGGGAAAGGAAGAGCAGAGAGAGAGAAGGAGGGAGGAGGGTGGGGTCTCAGGGTGTGACATCTTTTGAGGGAAAGGCACAATTGTAAGAAGGACTTTACCTAACAAATGCAACCAATGTAACCTGGTTTCTTGTATGCTCAATGAATCCCCAACAATAAATAAATTTTTTAAAAAAAGGGTACCAAGTCTCACTTATGCAACATAAATAAATTTTAGAGATTCATTCTACAGCATTCTAACTATAGTTAAACAATACTGTATTGTATACAAAATTTTCCCAAAAGGTAGATCTTAAGCATTTTTACCAGGTAAGGTATCTGTATAAGGTGATATGTTAATTACCTTGACTATAGCAATCATTTCACACATATATGTATATTAAGACATCAAGTTGTACACCTTAAACATAGTATATAATTTTGATGTGTCAAAAACAAATCTTAGGGATGATTTATCAGTCCTTTTCTACCCAAGACTCCAAAGTTTCAAAGAGCTCAGTCATATGCTAAAGCAGAAGATTCCTAAACTGAGAGGTACTCAGTGCTGGGGAGTATCTTTCTAAACCAGGGGTCCTCGAACTTTTTAAACAGGGGGTCAGTTCCTGTTCCTCAGACCGTTGGAAGGCCGGACTGTGGGCCCTGGGATGAGTCGGCTGCTAAGCAGGACAGGCAGCGGCGGCAAAAACACCCAGTGGGCCGGATAAATGTCCTAGGCAGGCCGCATGTGGCTTGCGGGCTGTAGTTTGAGGACACCTGTTCTAAACCTTTCCAAAGTGTAGGCTCTTTAATGGCAGACTGAATGTTCCTGTTCTCTGTGCCCTAGCAACTCCCACCACACCTGACACACAGGTATATGCATTAAATGTAGAACAACAAATTAAAGAACTGACCTCTCTAAAAGAAACCACTCCTCCACGTAAGGAATTCAAATTTATTATACTAGCAGACAGAAAAACAAATCCATAGTTAGCCCTTGTCAAAGGTTATCTGCACCACCGATTAACCTTTTGGAGATAATCTATAGATCTCATTGATCTTCTTCCCTCTCCTTTGGCCATTTCACTAATGACAGGGAGGGTCAGACAAAAGAACTCTCAAAATAACCCATTCTATAAATTGGCAAGGTTTCTCACTGATCGATAAATAATCATTGAAAATGCATTTTACATACTATTTGGGAGATGGGGTTGGGGAAAGTAAGCCAAGAGAGTTAAAAGCAAAATTGAAAAAATGTTATGCTTTAAAAACTGCCCTTCAGTATTGCTGCTACATCATGGGAATGCTGCCTATCTATCCCTGTAACTCCCCCCTGGAAGGCCCCAAACGACCTGGATGCTGTTATGACCTCCTCTTCCTGAGCAGCCTGCAGAGCCATTTACTAACTACACAAAAATAATAAGAAAATCAATATTATGGTTTCCTGCACACACCTGTTTCTGACCAGATGCAGAAACCCCCAGCTTGATCACTCACACTTAGCTGTAAATGAATTTTGTTTATTCTTCTAAATTAAATCCAACTACCCTCAATGGTGATTCATCACCCACTGTGGATTTTCAAGAGGATCGTCGAAAGCAATTCAAAGAAGGCTTTTGCAAATGGTTTTTAGCAAGGGCAGGATTATTTCTTAGGATGATGCCTGCTGAAGGTAGGTGGAAAATGTCAGAAAGCATGGCTTCAATAACCCAAGATACAGGCCAGGAGCAGTGTGGCTCATGCCTGTAATTCTAGTACTCTGGGCAGGCAAGGCAGGAGGATCACTTGAACTCAGGAATTCGAAACCAGCCTGAGAAAGGGTGAGAGCCTGTCTCTACTAAAAATAGAAAAATTACCTGGGCATTGTGGCAGGTGCTTATAGTCCCACCTTCTAGGAGGCTGAGGTAGGAGGACTGTGTGAGCCCAGGAGTCTGAGGGTGCTGTGAGCCAGGCTGAAGCTAAGGCACACTAGCCAGGGCAACAGAGATACTGTCACAAACAAACACCAGCCCCAAGATATAGCTTGTCTTTTGGGGTTGATGGTTCTTTGAAAACTCTTACCATGGAGAACAGATTTTCCACATGCATTTGCTGCTAACTGACCAGCTGAACTCCTCATTCCCTAAACACCACACATTCAGAAAATCACATAGGCGTCCTCAAACTACGGCCATGGGTCACATGCGGCCTGCCTAGGACATTTATCTGGCCTGCTGGGTGTTTTTGCCGCCACTGGCTGTCCTGCTTAGCAGCCATCTCATCCCGGGGCCTGCAGTCCAGCCCTCCAATGGTCTGAGGGACAGTGAACTGGCACCCTGTTTAAAGAGTTTGAGGACCCCTGAGCTAGAATCTTAAGGCTAGAATGTCTGGGTTCACAAAAGATACAGCTAAGGCAGAACAAAGAGATGAATTACTTTGTGGAGGCAGATTGAGACTCACATCCTAGGCCTGCCCCTAACTAGTCGGTGATGTGAACATCTCTCTGAGCCCCTGCACCCTCACCCTCCCATCCGACCGTGTTAAATAGCACTGGATAAGTGGCTGTCATTCATATTATGGGAAGTAGAATGATTTGAAAGACGCTTACCTCTCTCAGAGTTGGCTTGCCAATGAAAAAGTCTGTGTTCTTGCTGCTTTTGGGTGGGTTGAACTTGGGATTCAGAAAAGCACATCCATTTGCAATAGCCTCCAGGGGAGCTGGGCCCTCATAAGGGAACCCAAGTCCAACGAACAACTGTAAGACAAAAAAACATACAGTATAAACATGCCAGTCAGCATGGGCGTCCCTAGCTCACAGGGCACAGGTCTGCAGTCCAGTCCTGTGTAGATGATGCCTCAGAGATCCTGGAAGGCTCCCAGGTCCTGGGGGGGTGGGACACAGAGAATTCAGCTTATACCAGGATCTGAAAACCATAACCAGGGACATTTAAAGTGCTCAGGAAGCTGTTCAGCTCAGAGCTCTCCCCTGCTAAGAAAGTAAAGTAAGTGTTGGGGCACAGTGCGGGGGTAGGGGAGGTCAGCATATTAACAGAAAAACAAACAACCACCACTGCTAAGACCCAACAATAATCTTTCTGTAACTTACCAGGAGACATGACTGGAAAAACACTTGCTTAATGACACAGAAGGTTTCTTCATTGAACCAAAGGAACAACAGGCCCTTTCAGGGGCTCTGGGGGGAGGGACACAAAGGTCACTTGGCCGTTTGATAACAGTTCAAATGGAGCCGCTTTTGAACCATGGTAGGTCAGTAAACATGGGTTTTCATAATGGGATTTTCACGGGGAGGGGGGGACACCAACATCTTGGTTTTTATTCCCCCTTTCTGTGGGGAGTGAGGGTGCAGAGTTGCTGAATCGGCTGCAAGGCGGTTGTTCCCTGCCCAGCAAGCAGACCCTGTGTTTCCCCAAGACAGACGACAGATGGCAGCAATGACACACTCCCGAAGTCCTCAGAGCACCCGAGGCAGCTGGTGGCCACGGTGACAAAGGAGCATCTTGCGGCTCAATGCTGCTGATTCCTGGGTCCCAAACTGAACTAACACCTCCCAGAAATGGCTTGCTGGCACCCTCACCTTGGGGGACTCCTCACCACCGAGGACCCAGCGTCACTGCCGGGCAGGGCTGGGGCTGGGGAACCCTGCGTTCTCCCTCCCTGCCCGGAGGAGCCTGTTATGAAATCGCCCTAGGCCCCAGAGGCGCATCAAGAGACAGAAAGTAACTGGCCCCAGGGCGTCGTTTCCTACTGCTGTCAAGCGGAGGAACACCCACATGGCAGGTCCCCAGCATGAACCTGAACGGATGAGCCTAGGAGACTCCTTTCCCCAGGCCAAGCCGCTAGGCTCCCTGGGCAGCGCCTGAAGCTACGGAATGTCGGGGCTGGGAGCTCCATGCCAGGTTGCCCTGGGCGCAGCCTGAGTCTGACAAACTGGAGAACCATGCAGCTCTGGAAGGAATTGTGAGGCAAATCACTGCAATCTCGGGTTTTCTGGAGATGGTCCCAATCTTATTAATTTTTGTTATGCACAGAACCTGGTAATTGAACTTTTTTGTTTGTTTGTTTTTTCTTTTTTTTGGAGAGATAACCTTTTGTACAAACTTTGAGATCACAATGCTAGAAACATCCAAAGGGGAATGGGTTGGAGAGACAAGCACCTGTGAGAGGCCAGTGCGGCCAATTCCCTTCAGGCAGGAGAGCCACTGGGTGAAGAAAACAGGGTAGCCAGGAGCCTGGAAGCTGTAGGATAAAGGCAGTATCTCCTGCAATGGTTCTTACTCTCATGATACAGCTAACTGAAATGACATTGTTAGACTGACCTTATGGGGCATGGCGTGGACATGCGGCTCGCTGTGGGGGGGACCTGATAGCTGCAGGAGAAACAGATGGAAATGGTGGGATATCCCAGGATGGTTCAGCTTTATTAAATATGGAGACTGCAAGGTGCCTGCCTCAAGGCTTTTGATCTCTGTGACCTGTCCCCCCACCCAGACTTTGGGGAAGAGGTGTCAGCTCTCTAGGAGGAAACATATGACCTCAGTCAGGCTAGAGCTGGGCGTGAAATAGCACAGGGAGTCTAGATCTTCCGACTCTGAGAAGAAAGGTGCTAGAAGGTGCAGATCAGGGTCTCCTGTAAGTTCAGCCCAAGACCTAGAGCCTGCACTGTTTCCTGACCTCTGTAAGTCAGGGCCTGCCATGAAGTGCTGATACCTTCATCAACTCCAAATTGCAAAGTACAACTTTGGAGGAATACATGCAAGCAGTACAATGTTGTCTATTTAAATGGAAAATCTTGGGAAAAAATTTAATTAGCTCCTTTAGACCAACCAATCTGAACCCATTAATTAAAAGGATTTGAGGCTGTTGCTTAATGGACTTGAATGTGACCTAGGTTTAATTATATCTGAATAACAACATGCACCATCTCTTCTGCCCTGTGGGCACCAGAATATTTCCATACACATAAAATAAACACACACTGGGCTAATTCTCCTAAGCCTTGTGATTTTAGAATGAAGCTTAAGCAAATACCACACAATTTCTTGGCAACAAGTCTTTTTGTCACACTAATTAGGATCGCAGGAAATGCATCATTTACAAACAGCAAAATAGCAGTTTTTTGTCACTTCTGTCAATAAGCAATTTTTTTTCTTCCTTCCTGTCTACTCACTACCTGTGATGTTACAATGGAGCAGATGCATTAAGGTCAAACAGCACATTTGAGGTTTGACAACAGGCAGAGAGAGTTCAAAACCACCTAATGGCATTTGGTGAAGATCATGTGCTGAGGACCTTGCCACAGTACGGGTACTTTAACAACACTAAACTATTTTTCCCCTAATCCCCTGCTTTCCCCATCACTCTGCCTTTGCATGGAGGCAAGAGACACTGCAAGTGTCACTCAAAGTGCCAAGGTTTAACTCTGCTGGAGAAAACTGGCCATATTTTATTTCTTCTCTACCTGGTTTTTTTCAGAAGCCCAGAATCTAACAAAGATATTCCAGATGACAAAGTATCTCCACGGCTGCCATTCCAGCTCTGTCAACGAGCATTCCTGAACAGAGAGATTACATGCTCTAAAATCACATTTCTGAACTAATGCCAATCAAGAGAACAGATGAAGCACCATACGCTTCATTCACAGCATAGCATCGGGACATGCCTACACATCGACAAGGAGTCCAGTAAAACCATTCAGATTTTTTCCACCCGGTGAAAGAGAAATGAAATTGTTTTAAACTGCTAAGGGGAGTAGGATTCTTTTTGTTTGTTTGTTTTTGGTCGGGACTGGGTTTGAACCCACCACCTCTGGTATATGGGGCCAGTGCCCTACTCCTTTGAGCCACAGGCACAGCCCGGGGGAGTAGGATTCTTACAAAGAATCCTTTAGACATGGATAAAGGTAGTTCTTATACAAGTGTTTCACTCTTGATGGGGATCAAAAATATCCCCAAAGGCTCGGCGCCTGTGGCTCAGGTGGCTAAGGCGCCAGCCACATACACCTAAGGTGGCGGGTTCGAATCCCCAGCCCGGGCCCGCCAAACAACGATGATGGCTGCAACCAAAAAATGGCCAGGCCTTGTGGCGGGCGCCTGTGGTCCCAGCTACTTGGGAGGCTGAGGCAGGGGACTCGCTTGAGCCCCGGGGTTGGGGGTTGGTGTGGGCGTGATGCCATGGCACTCTACCCAGGGGGATAGCTTGAGGCTCTGTCTCAAAAAAAAAAAAAAAGAAAAAAAAAATCCCCAAATAGGAGAAGCACACTCAACACATATTTTCTAATTAGCTTTGATTAGCAAACTTGATGGTGTGACTTGGCAGGGAGGCCTGAGCAATGGATCAACCTCAGCCTATCCAGTGAATCGATTATTGGCATAAAGTGACCAGAGCAACATGGTAATGACACCACAGGCTCTGGAGTCAGATCAGGGGTTCAAGTCCTAACTCCTTCATTTCCCAGTCCTGTAACTGTGGCAAACTGCTAGATGTCTCTGTCTATGGATTCTGAGGCTCATTTATAATCTCTTCTCTGTAGTCATAGCACCTTAGTGAAGGTAACACAAGCTCTCTAAATCTCAGTCTTTTCATGTGTAAAATGGGGGAAATAATAGTGCTTTATTTATTTCATGGGGTTGCTATGAGGATTACATGAAGTATTACAAGGAAAGGATATATGCCAAGCTTATTAAACATTAAGTAAATAGTTCCTCAAGTTCAAACCCAGATGTAAGTGCATGTAGCCGCACATCATGACCTTATCTCCTTTCCCTGGAGTCTGGATGTGTGCGAGTTAAGTTTGTGGGTTTTTACAGAATGTTCAGTGAGTGCATGTGTATTTATGAGTTCTCACTGTTTCCTGATGTATCTAGACTAAGAGAAGGGGAGGGACACTTCACCAGAAGAGAGATGTGATGACAGAGACTGCCACATAGAAGGGCCAGTCCCGTGAGTCACATGTCATTGCTAAGCTTTGTTTATCCTTCATAGTGATTGGGTATCGTATTTCTAGTAATAGGTATCCCTTGTATATATTTGATAAGAACCCACGTGATGGTTATGGAAAAAATGTATTTTTCTGAACTGTGATGCTTTCCTGTATCTCAAAGGGTCCCTTGTCTGGCCATCTGTCTTCCCTCAGGCATCTGAAGCTGAAGGAAGGGATTAGCAGTGGCCAAATTCTCTCCCATCCAGGTCAGCTACATTATCCCATGGGCTCCACAAGCCTCTCATTCACAATAGCTAAAGACTCTAGGGAAGAGCTGGAAGGACCACAGAGACAAAGACTAGGAGAATTGTCCAGTGTCTTCAAGTACTCAAAGTCTGTCAAGGTTGCCTGCTAAACCAAAGACTACTTCCTAGAGACCAGCTAATTGGGGTCGATTCTCTGACTATGCCCAGTTACCTAAATGCCCTTTCAGAAACAACAATGGTAAAAACTAAACCACAGACAACAGCATCAACCAAGATAATGTTCCTGAGTTTTGGTCACTTGGGAGCTTCAGTACAAAATCAAATGCATTATAATCCGCACAGTAAATTTATTAACTTGGAGTAACAGAATATTTGTGTAAATTTCAAATTGTAGAGGTGAGATGCGTCCAGCAAGGCCAGCCTGAAATGCTAACAAATGAAAAGTCCACTCAAGCATCACCTCCTGGTGTGGGGAGCCTTCCCGACCACTGCTTTTACACAAATTCCACACCAGGCCGAGCCCTCAGTTCCCAGCATGGAAACAGCGGAACAGGCTGCTTCCCCACAGAAACTCTGGCCTCTGTTATCACATGAGGTGATAACAATACCAAGATCACAGGATTTTTGTAATGGAGAAGATTCACAGAAAAGGCTTAGCACAGGGCCTGGCACGCAGTAAAGGGTAACAGAGACAATGGCTGTTCTGGGACAGTACACCCCCCACAGGCAGGTGTACCATGGCAGCATGGATGCGTTAAACTGTGACTGACACAGCTCCCATCCTCCACGGTGAGACCACCTCAGTCATTTCATTGATTTTACGAGTCACAGAACCACATTTTTACACAGCTGAATCACTGGCCTCATGGTGACATTTTATGTCAGTATCATTTCTTTTCTTATTCCTAGTTCTGCTGCTGTACTTCTCGTGTTGTTACTGTTCTCTGTCTACCTCCTCTAAGCTCCTTGTGGGCAAAATTGTCTGAGTCACCCCTGTGTCTAAAATGGCAAGGCTAAGGCCTGGAATAAGCAAAAGAATAATTATTAATAGATTTCCTCCCCAGTCAGGGTCCGAGTGTGGAGGTTGAGCATGCTTGTGTGTATTTGGGTATGGGGGTGAGCTTTTGCACTGGCCAAGGGGTTACTGAGTCACACCACCATACACTCCTCAATGTACACACATATATGGGGAGGCAGGGGGAGAGGCACACCTCAGTACCATTTTCCCCCCATCCATATGACACGAGAATGATTTAAGGTACTGCTCACTAGGAGGAAACTCGTGTGAAATGGCTCCCTGAGGAGCCAGCACCTGAAACAGAAGATGGACTACTCCCCTGAGTAGGCAAGCTCTCAGGCTATAACTCCCAAGACCTGGAGACACGGACAACATCACAGAGAGGCAGGTGCCGAGTATCAGAAGGGCATGTCGCTTGCTGGGCAGATCTTGGAGATGTAGGTATACAACTCATAAGAACAGGAAGAAATTTCAGAGATCCCATATGGTTAGTGGGTTTCGTCTTGACCCCTTCCTTCATTCTCCACATGATTATCTAAATGCCTCTATATGCCAGGCAGTGTTCCAGGCACTGGGTAAGAGAAGCCTCTCAGCCCTTGTGGAGCTGCATGAGTCTGGTTCCAACAGTGGTGGTGGCCTCAAAGCTGGAGTTTTTGAGAGAGCTTTGACAACCACATCCAAATCTAGTGGGAAGAACCATAGTCGATTAGGGACGGTGGGTGTGGGGAGAGTGTGCTCAGGTGTGAAGATGGGATGGGTCAGCGGGAGCACAGACTGCATACCTCACAGGGCTATCCAGACCTCGGGGTGTGTCTCACGGGTGAGTTAATAAGCTGACATAGTGGGGAAACGGGATGGTCAGGACCCACCTGAATATTGGAGGGGGAGTGACAGGAGGTTGGGTACAGAAGGGGCCAGTAACAGCAGGGTGGCAGCAGCTTGCCCTGGCACAGCCAGAATTTGTTTCCGTCTGTATAAAGGGAGGCACCTGGCCCAGCTCATGGATCACTCTTGTGAGCTCCGGACGCTCCTCCTTCCCAGCATAGGACTTGCATGCAATATTCAACGTGGTATAGGAAAAAGGAGCTTCCTATAGGAAGACTGGGGAGACAGGGGCATGAAGAAGTTAAAACTAGGAAGGTGAAGGAAGAAACCACACTAAAAGATAAGATTTAAGCCAAAAATATAAACATGCCACCCTAGCAAGTCCTCATTGGCTGGCTTAAATTTTACTCCTGGAGTCTGCTGGACCAAATGACTCCTCGTGGTTCTCTGATAAATAATTCATTCATCCAAACTTATATCCCCATTAGGAGGGTCTTCTAGATCCCAACAACTTCACAGCTTTTTTGGTCTCAATACTAGCGTAACATTGAGTTCCTTTGTCTTCACAGGCTCCCTGAAGCAAGAGTCTGTTAATGACGCTGGTACCCCTAATGGCATGCCAGGACAAAATTTTGCTGAGCAGAGGGTTTCCTGGGCTTGGCACAGAGATTCAAAGATGGCTTGTAAAGAAAAATAATGAGTCAGAACTGATGAAGCATCAATCATTTCTGGCTTTTAACCTCTTGAGGAGACCAGACTTGCTTCTGTAGCAGTAGCGAGTTGGAGGAGTGCGAGAATCCTATTCATTCTGCAGACATTTGCTTCTCAGCAGCCCCAGTTCTCCACTCCCAACATGGATTGGAATAAATCACTTTTGAATTGCTCGGAGACACAGACGAAGGAGTCAGAGGCAGAAAGGGTTAGAAATGCAGAGCCTGACTAGTCTTTCGTGTCATTATTTCATTCATCTGAGTGCTTGCTGCTGTGTCCTGGGCACATGGGGTCTGAGTGATACACTATCTCAACCTCATCTCATCATATTTGCTGGCTGTTTGAACCATAATCCTGTTCAGAGTATTTTAATATATTCTAGTCAGGTAAACAGGCTATACGTAACAGGATGAGTGACATCCTCTGAAGGCACCAGTTTTTCAAGGATGAATATATATGCTTTATGCTCAAAATTCAAGCTGCAATCCTTGGTTATCAGAGGCAAACTCTTACATCATGGTCTGGGCCTTCCAGATTTCTTCTCTTGTCCTCCCCTGGACATCAGAGATTTTAGCTTCAGCCTATTTTCTAGACTCTGACGGGGTAAATGAAAGTTAGGGAAGTAAGGGTTCTTTTAAAATTTGCAAGGCTGAGCAAGACATTCACGAGGTTGGGTTAATGGAAGTGTGCGAGACAGTAATGACACACTGCTGAGAACCAGCTCTGCCAAATGTTATTTTAAAGGAACTTGAGCTTTTTCCATGATCCAAAATGGAAAAAAGTAAAATGAGGCAAATGGCAAAAACAGCACTGTCATTAAAGGGCCCAGGCATTGTGATGATTCTAAAATGTTAACCTAAGACAGGAGGGCATGGAGAGCAAACTGTGAAAACTGGGGAACGCACTTCACTGTGGCATAGCCACAAAGTCATCGGCTATAGATGACCTTGTAAAGAAGTTCACAAAAATTAGGTCTTGGGCCAAGGAGCCCGTGACTATGTCCAACTATTTCATTCATAGCATCACACAAATGACTTGAAAGTAGCAAAGATCAAACGCATTTAGAGATGGAGAAAATGAGGCCAAGGAGAGATGTATATTCTTTTGGGTGCTGAATGTCCACTAAATGCTCTTAAGTTTAAGCATTCATGAGTAGGGTATGCTGAGGGCCTAGTGGGCTTAATATTGCTGTTAAAATAACTCCTAACTTAGGGTTATCCTTGAGGCTTGACCGCAGCTTAGTGTGGGCAAGCCCAGCTCTCTAGCCTGTTTCCTCATGTTTAAAGTAAATTTAGCAATAATACCTGCCCTGTCTACCTCTTAAGGCTGTTGCAAGAATCACAGGACAGCATATGTGAATGCCCTTTCTAAAAACAAAGTGCCACACAGTGATTAGCAATTTCTGTTATGCCACAGAGGTCAATCCGCTCAACCTCTCTTCCCTAGTGTGTACACGAAAATGGTGAGCCGGAAGCCAGAGCTGAGAACTCCATATGGGTAATGTGCTCCCCTACACCTGAGGAAGGGGGAGGGACCCATGTGCTCTCTTCACTCTTCTATCTCTTGCACAATACCTGGCACATAGCAGCTGCTCAATAAATTCTTATAAAATTTGCAAATCAGAGCTTATTGAGAAACATGAGGGGGCTTATCTAATGCATTAAAATGCTAGCCAATGCTTCGAGGTCAAACTTTAGTTTATTCACAAGTCTCTGAACTTGGTTTGGTCCATCCATGGTAGGATTACAGAAAGCACACAGACCACAGTGGATTTCCCCCATGTCATCATGCTACCGCTCAGCAAATAACTCTCCACGTCTTGCCAGCTACCTGCACCACACACTGAACAATGCCTTGTCTTGACAATCAGACCCTTGTCCCTCATCTAGTTTTATCTCCTACTACTTTCCAATACTTAGACTCCTAAGTAGGTCGTCTGGTTCTCTACCACCTGATTTTGAGTTCTGTCTGGGCCAAAGGCAAGGTATATCCATGTCTTACCCCGCTTTCATCTTCCACATCCCTCCTGTGTGTCCCCTGCTCTTAGAAACGACGGGGACTTTTCTCTCTGAACCTCCTCAGTGTTTCAGTACATCCATGGTGAGTGGGGAGGTGTGAGGAAAAGCTGGTTAGGGAAGTGAATGCTCAGACAGTGACAACTTACTGTGCAAGCTGTGCCTCTAGCAGAAAGTCTGTCCCTGGAGGCAGGGCATTACCTTTCCCTTTGGTGGCCTTATCCTCAGCCACCTGCTTGATACTTTGCAGGCTAGCTCCTCAGTAAATATGTTTTTTGACTAAATCAATGAACAAAACCACAGCAACCTCCTTCCATAATTCACTGTCTTTTTTGGTCACCATTATTCTAGTAAACCACTGCTCCAAAACATCCAAAGATAGGATTGAAAACAAAGCATAGGCTCGGCGCTTGTGGCTCAAGTGGCTAAGGTGCCAGCCACATACACCTAAGGTGGCGGGTTCTAATCCAGCCCGGGCCTGCCAAACAACAATGATGGTTGCAACCAAAAAATAGCTGGTATTGTGGCGGGCGCCTGTGGTCCCAGCCACTTGGGAGGCTGAGGCAGGAGAATCGCTTGAACCCAGGAGTTGGAGGTTGCTGTGATCTGTGATGTCACAGCACTTTACCCAGGGGGACAGTTTGAGGCTCTGTCTCTAAACAAAAAAAAAAAGAAGAAAAGAAAGCATAAAAGATACTGACCCCATTTTCAAGGACAACAGAAACAACTTTTGAATACATCCCTCGTGAATTTTTATCAAACTATAGAAAACTTACTTTGGTTTCTCGGAGAAGAAACTGCAGATCCCGTCCACTGAGGATACCATGGTTTTTTACGTAACTGGGGATATTCTTGGTGCTGGAGCCATAGACAGTAGCATGCACTTCCATGTACGTGTGAATTATGTCCAAGTAGATCTTCTTATTCTAAAGAGGAGACACAAGCAGAAGACATTTCTCTCTTCCCTCCATTCACATCACAACCTGCGTCACAGAACAGAACCTTTTCTAACAGCTAGAGCCACAGAGAAGGGTGCTCTTAACAGAGATCACAGGAATTTGATAATCTCCTTAAAAAAAAAAAAAGAAAAAGAAAAAGAAAAAGAAAACCTATTTCTTTTTAAAGTAATCTGGCTGGATTTTGAAGGCGAAAATAGTCATATGGCTTCTGTACAATTCTGCAAAAAGAAACACATTATATGAAAACATGAATACCAACCACAACTTATGGCCAACTGTTTTGAAGCATCATCTTTGCTTTGTAAATTATGAGGGACCCAACAGTGGCTTTTGGCTTCTCCTACTTGCAGGGGAGGAAGTTTGGGGAAGGAAAACCCAGAGAAGGCAGTCGGCTGGACTGGAATATTTATCCGGAGATGCTAAGCCGTCCCTGAGGAACGCAAACATCCCGAGCTCTTGCCAACATTTCTAGTGATGATTAACTCATGTTGTCAGAACTGGATCCCCTTAATTTCAGATCATGGGAAGATGAGAGTTTCCCACAGCTGGAGAGAAAATAAGACTATCCAGGTAGACAAAAGTAGAAAAAGATTACAGCATAAATTTTAATGAATTCTGAAACAATTCAGGAGTTTTACTTTTATTAGAGGCAAAACCCAATGCTTTTCCTGTAGTTTAGGCTCTAAATTTTGAGACACATTTTCTAAATCAAAACCACCTGTGAAGTGGAAGCAAGTTCACTTTTTCTACCTCTTCATGTTTCTGTGTGACTAAGTTGTACAAGCTGGGTTTTGTGGGTTGTTGTTTTTGGAAATTTGAAAGAGTCAAGTTCTATAATGTTTTCCAGTTGTAGAAAAGTGGGACAAAATTTCCCCATTCTAAGCCTGTTTTTGGACGCTCCAGTCAAATCCAATAATAGCTGCTTTTGTGACTTAAGACCACAAGGAACACAGGGAGGTGGACCAGCAGCTATGGACAGGGGGATGGGGAGGTGGACTCTGGACAAGCCAGTTTACAACTCGCCCTCTGCCTCGGTGCCATTACACAGGACATCAACTTTGGAGGAAACAAAGTTTCCAAAAGGGGCGTCACAAGTCTTCACACGACTGGGAAAAGAGCATAGTCCAGGCTCTCTGTTTTATGCACCAGGGTGACTTTGTTCACAACCAAGCAAGCCTGTCCCTACCACCCTAAAATGTGAATAAAAGAAACACTTGGACTGAAGGTCCAACTCCGTGTCATGTCTGGTGTGGCTGCAAGAGGCATTAGCACAGCATGAGGACAGAATTTATGAACCATGACTTCCCACTTGTCGTTTGAGCCAAACGTAGTATCACCTACCTGGTATAAGTTAATGTGAAGGGTAACCTCTGCTTCTGTATCCCCATCCCCCAACACTGGTGGTCAGCTTTGAGTGTGTGTGTGACCAGGAGGGACCCATTCTTAGGCTGGCCAGCAGCCCAGGAATGACACTGCAGGCTCAGTAAGGCAAAGGGAGCCAAGCAGACCCCCTCTGGGGAACTCAGAATCCTGTACACAGGGAGATTACTGCCAGATGGTCACTGGCTTTAGAGCAAAAAGGTCAATCAGTGCTGGAGTCCCAGCAATTATGGGCCAGATAATAAGTTCTGCGGAAGCCAGTCACCAGTGTTGGGGGCTGAAGGAAAGGAGAAAGACAGTTGGTGATAAGAGGGACCCAGAGAGTAGCTGCAAGTGGGGCTTCATCCCTGCAAGCATGGTGGGGAGGAGAGAATAAGGAGCAAGTTTGGGAAAGGACGAGAAGGAAGAAGAGAGTAGGAAAAGGGAGAAGAGAGTGAGACTAGGAAGCAGAGAGAAGAGAGGAACCAGGGCCCAGACCCCCACCCCGCCCAGTTCTGGGCCCACTTGCGTCCATTCCCCATCTCAAATTCCCCAGGTCTTTCTGGATCCTTGCAACAGCAGCAGCTACCCAAACTCTTCTCAGACCCCTTATTTTACTTCAGTTACTTCCAGTAGATTTCAATTGTTCAAAAGGTGGCTTCTGTGGACATCTTGCTGGCCTTCAAGCAGGGATGGAGGTGGAGGTGGGACCTATATCTCTCCTTTATGCAAAAGGAAACATATCCTACCCCGAGAGAAAAGCCAGCTACCAACTCATGAAGATGGACCAAAGGCCCCCAGACTAGGTCTGCGCTGAACAGTGGGTGGCCCTCTGGTTCCTGTCTTGGACAAAACATTCACTGTACACAGATTCAAGATTAGGATTCCCAGACTAAATGCCTGGAAAAGGAATATGCTAGGTTATATGTGTATTGCCATCAAATCCCAGAAAAGGGAGGGGCTCTTTAAATTATAATAAGGGGGCATGTTCAGACCAATACAAAGAAGTGTATGGAAAGACTAACGAGGCCTATGAACTTAGTAACATGAAGCCTGGTAAAGCCCGGAAGGAGACATTACCTTCAGAGAGGAGCTATGGAAATTCACGGATGAGAAAATGCCCACAGGTGATTAAAGGAAAAAAATGTTTCAAGCAAAATTTTAACTTTTGATGTTGATGTGACAATTAGGAAATTTCAACTCAGGTCTCTTGTTGCCACTTGTCAGAGTTCTGTAGCAATCTGTCAGGAGAACCATGCTACCTATTCCAGGTAAAGGCATCACAAGAGGCTCTAGTCCCAAAGATAACATACTAAAGAAACCACAGGAAGTACCCTTCAGCTCAGATCTGGGTCCTGAATTTCAAATACCCAACTGCCTCTTGAACCCTTCCACCTGGCGTGCTTCAGCCACTGCTGACGAAAGAAAACCACTTGCCCTACCTGGCCAGACCCCCTTCCTCTGCTCCTCGGCTTGGTGGCTGGCATCATGCTCCCACCCAAGCACCTACACCAGAATCATGCCGCCATTCTGCCCCCCCAATGTCCCACCAACATTCACAATGAAATAGTCACAAGTCTTGTAGATTCTGCCTCTGTAATACTTATCTTCCTTTCTAGGCCCTGATCCTCACTCAACTGGATTATGCCAGGATTAATTAGTATCTTAATACTCCTCTCTGTGACTGAAAAGGTAAAGCAAAATAATTTGTATGGTTCGATGCTGTTTTTGAAAAGTTTTGTAGCCATGCAAAGTGATAACGTGCACATGGGCCATGTTTAGACATATGAGCATTAGTAAGGTACAAAGTCTACATGGGGATAATATACACCAACTTCCAGAAACTAACTGAGGGAGGGTGGCTTTGGGGAGGTGGGGCTTTAGCAACATTAGTAACGTATCATTTCTCTGCTAAAAAATATTCAAAGATGTTAATACCTATGGTTCTGGGTAATAGGTATATTGATATCTTTTATTAGATTTCTGTATATATGACATATTTCATAATACAAAAATTTAAAAACATATGCGATCAAAAAAATGAATAAAAACTTGTCTAAAACTCTAAGGCTTGAACCACCGTCACACCAGAAGGCTTAGTTCTTGCCATCAAGGCAACCAAAAGGGATTCCTATTTCTCTTGGGTGTATTCTCTTATCTTTGGTATTTAAGAATACAGTACTTGTGTTCTTAAATGAATGTTAAGTGAAGGATGTTCCTGTGTTACCCCAACCCACAGGACAGACCAAACTGGGAAGAAGGTACACTATAGGGGTGGGGGAAGTTCCAGCATATACCCTCCCATACCCTTTCCTTATTTTTGTTATCCAAGCTCAGGGCAAAGGTGACACCATTGACCTGAGTGTCCCATTAATCTAAGATATCTGGATCAAGATCACCCCCTAAAAATCTTTCCTTCTCTGACTTAAGAGGCAAAGGTCAAAGGAAATTATCTACTCCAAAAACTATCATCCACAATTCTCTCAAGGAGTTAAAAGAAGCTTGCCCAGAGTGTACATCACAGCTGCAATCACTCCCTCTCCCAAAGGTTCCAGCTGAGCAACCTGCAGCCCCTAATGCTTCCAGTCTCTAGTTCAATTTAAATTCCCATTAAAAACAACTGAACTAACTGATTAAAATTTAAATCTACCTAAGCTCTCAGAGAGGGAGGAGGAGAGACTCAAGGAGCAGTGCTGTCAGGTGTCTCTGCTGTGGCTGGAGGCAGGTCCATGGGCAGAACTGGAGATATTTGGAGCTTGGGTAGAAAGTGGAAAACAATTCGGTCTAAGCAATTCACAGCAGGGGAGGCAGAATGCAGAACCACAGAATCAGAAGCTCTTACCCTAATTTCTTTTAAAATTGTATTGATATGTAATAATTGCCTATTTAGTATTTATTTTGAGGCAATCTCACTATGTCACCTTGGTAGAGTGCTGTGGTGTCACAGATCATAGCAACGTCCAACTCTTGGGCTTAAGCGATTCTCCTGCCTCAGCCTCCCAAGTAGCTGGGACTATAGGCGCCCAATTGCCTTTTTTTTTTATGGTGTATATATGATGTTTTGTCACATGTGTACAATGTGTGGGATGATCAAGTCAGCGTATTAGGATATCATCACCTTGAGTATTTGTCATTTCTATGTGTTGAGAATATTTTAAGTCCTCTCTTTCAGCTATTTTGAAACATAAAATGTTATTATGAACTATAGGCACCCTACTCTGCTATGCAACAAACTGTGTGCGTGCTTGCTGACCCACCTCCCTTCCTCCCCTGCCCCTGCCCTTCCCAGTCTCTGCTAGCTATGATTCTATTCTCTTCCTCCACGAGATCCACTTTTTAGCTTCTGCATATGAGAACATGTGATATTTGTCTTTTTGTGCCTGGTTTATTTTGGGATAAGCTCCAGTTCCATCATGTTGCTGAAAATGGCCAGATGTCATTCTTTTTTATGCCCAAATAGTATTTCACTGCAACTCTGTACCACATTGTCTTCATCCATCTATCCAGCGATGGATGGATCTATAAATTGGGTATTGTGAATAGTGTTGCAATGAACATAAGGCTGTGGGTGACCTTTTGCTCCCCAACTTTTTTAGCTGGTGAGTTAG